TACCCAAAGAATAAGTAAAACCAATTATAGAAACAGAAAAAACAACCCTATGATTCCTTTACTGAATTATTATTAACCCTTCATCTTTTCTATTACCATCTGAGGCCATGCAGTGCAACAGGAAAAAACAATGACTTTGCAATCAGAGGGACTGAGTTCAAATCCCACCTTTAGTGCTTTCTACCTGTGTGACTCAGGGCAAGTCACTTAACCTCCGTAGGCCTCAGTTTTCTCACCTGTAAAATGCAGGAATTGGGCTTTAAGGTCCCTTCTACCTCTAAATCTGGGATCCCATGTTTGTTCATCTACCCAATGTTCAGCCTTGCCAAGACCTGAAACTTTTTCTGGACAAAAACAAGAGAAAAAGAAAGCAGGTTCTCTCACTGGGTCTGATTTACATGTGTAATTTTTATATTCTCATTCATTTCAGCCTAGTGAATAATTTTATTGTTTTTGAAGTGACAGAAAGAGTAGAGAACTCCAGATTTCAGAGACATCTACTTGGAGTGTGTTTACTGGAATTGAGAAGAGAAACTTGAAGATCAAATCATATCTGGAAATTAAAGCAACAGGTTAGTAAAATTGTTGGCTTCAAATTCCCCAAGAACAGAGGGTCATAGGAAAAACCTGCTAACTAAATTTCACAAGTCACTGATGTATATGAACAGTCAAAAGCTCATGTTCATTTCATAGGACTGATGGTGAGTCCTTAGATCATAAAGTAGTTTTCCAAAGGTACAAACTTACACAGCTAATACGCAACTAGTTCCAAAGTTAACTGATATGCAACTAGTCTTTTGGAAAAAGTGCCTTAACAGCCTTGTCTTTTCCCTCTCCTGCTTGCTAAGAAGTTGCCCAGAATTTTCTGAAAGTCCAGATATCCCCCTGGAGAAAAAGAATACTAATCAGAGACATTACAGGCAGCATGTTGTCTGATTATAAAGTTTTCTGGAAGTCCTGAGGTCCCCCCGAGACAGTAGAAGCAGCTTGAAAATAGGGTCCAGGACTCTTGGGTTCTAGGCATAATTCTGCAACTAATTAGCTGTGTGCTCTAGAGCAAATCACTTCACCTCTCTGGCCTCAGGGTCTCTATTGGTAAAAGGAAAAGGTTGAATGAGATTACTTTTAAGGTTCTTCCCAGATCATTGTAGGTCTGAAGAGTAAAGGTAGTAGCAGTCCTACTTTGTAGCCAGATTGCACACTCTCCAAATAGAAACCTAGTAATACTAATAATACATACAATAGTTGTTTACAATTAACTTAGCACTTTTTTAGAAATGGGATTAAATTTATGTTGTGTGGCTTCAAAGTAAGCAAGAATTTCCAATTGATTAGAACTGTCTGCAGATGAAATGGGCTGTCTCTGAGGTAGTGTACTCTGTACCACTGGAAGTGTTGAAATAGAGATTGGATACTTTTTAAATGTATTGTAGAGATACTTTTTAAATATATTGTAAATATATTAAATATATTTTTAAATATATTGTAGAGTAAATATATTGTATCAGAAAAAGTTTGGACTATATAACCTTTGGGATCCCTTCCAGCTCTGAGACAGTATGATTCTATGCTTTCAAAACAATTCTGTGAGGAAGGTAGTGACAATATCAGCCTATTTCATAGCTAAGGAAACTGAGTTACATAGAGATTAACTGACGTTCCTAAGATCACAAAATTCATAGGCGACTAAGTCAAAGCTAGATGTTCTAGTTCCAAGTCTGGTGTTATTTCATATTTTTTTGTATCTTGTTAGGCAGAATATTTGGATAGGAACTGAAGGTCTTTTTCCTTCTATTGTAGAGATCTAAATGTAAAAAAACAGTTCCAAAGGGAAACCCCATGGAAAGAGAACTTGGATTTGGAAACAGAGAACCTAAGCTCAAAACTGGGCTTTGTGGTCTTAGGCAAGTTACTAAATCTCTGGGGGCCTCAGTTTCCTCATCTATAAAATGAGGAAATTGGACTAGATAACTTCTAAGGTCCTTTCTAGCTGTACATCCATTATCTATGAGTCTAAGAAATCCTAAGTGGCAAAATAAGCCAAATTCTTGTGTTTTCAGAAAGAGGAAGAAGATTGGCCAAAGAAATATGTGTGAGACCCTTCTAAGAAGAAATTCAATCTGTGTGAACCCAGAGCATTATAATTGGCTATAGGTTACATTTGAAAGAGGATGGATGTTTTATTTTGGGGTGATCCTTAAAGAAATTTTGAAAAAGAATGATCATAAAATCATAGATTCAGAACTAAAAGGGACCTTAGAAGTTACCTATTCCAAAGCCACCATTTTATAGATGGAGAAAATGAAGCCCTGAGAAACTTGCTCATCATTACACAAGTGGTCATTAAAATTCAAATTCAAGTCCTCTGACTCCAAATCTAGTACCTTCTCTGGGTGTGTATATGAAAAGTAGCTAAAGATGGTACCTCTACCAATTTGGTACATTTCAACTAATTCAGGTAACTAGGTGGTACAGTGGATAGAGTGCTGGGCCTGGAGGCAGGAAGACTCATCTTCCTAGGTTCAGATCTGGCTTCAGACACTTCCTTGCTGTGTCACCCCGGACAAGTCACTTAACCCTGTGTGCCTCAGTTTCCTCATCTGTAAAATGAGCTGGAGAAGGAAATGGCAAACCACTCTAGTATCTTTACCAAGAAAACCCAAATGGAGTAATGAAGAATTGTATATGACTGAAAAAAAACTTAACCACAAAATCAATTAATTCATTTGTCATCCTTAAAAGAAATAACTATTAAAATTAGAATTGTAGATCTGGAAGAAATCTTAGAAATCATCTAATTCAGCTGTTTTACAGATGAGGAAAGGCATAAATGGTATGTTTATCATAGATAATAACAAAGTTAACACCTTTATAGCAATTAAAGGTTTGTAAAATACTCTGATCATATTTGATCTTCACAAACAACCTTGTGAAGTAGGTGACATGACGTAAAACTGGGAGAGACAGCACATTGGAAGAGAGTCAGGATACAAAAAGATTTTTAACAGGAAAGAATATTGACATAAATATAAATCTAAGAGGAAAAGATATAAAGTCTTACACTTGAGTTGAAAAAATCAACTATGCAAATACAAGATGGGGAAGGTATGACTAGATCATCTGAAAAAAGACCTAGAGATTATGATGGATTGCATAATTAAATCTACAGTGTGATGAGGCAGCCAAGGAGTCTAAAGTGATACTAGGGGGCATCAAGAGAGGAATAATGTCCAGGACTTGGCAGGTGATAGTGCCACTGTACTCTGCTCTGATCAGAACATATTTGGAGTATGGTTCAATGGTTTGGAGTGTGGTTCAATTCTGTGGGCAGCTAGGTGACACAGAGGATAGAACATTGGGCTTGGAGTTGGAAAGATCTGAATTCAAATCTGGCCTCAGACACTAGCTGTGTGACCCTGTGCAAGTCACTTAATACTTTTTACCTCAGTTTCCTCATCTCTGAAATGAGCTGGAGATGGAAATGGCAAACCATTCCAGTATCTTTGCCAAGAAAACCCCAAATAGGATCATGAATAACTGGACACAACTGAACAACAACATTCAATTCTGTGCACTATATTTTAGAAAGAACATTGACATGTAGGAGAATGTCCAGAAGGGGGTGAAGTGCATGCCCTATAAGAATCAGTAAAAAATATTGAAGGTGTTTAGCTTGGTGGGAAAAGAAGACTCAGGAGTTACATGATAGCAGTCTTCAAATATTTGAAGGTGCACCTCATGATTTTGCTTCTCCCAGAGGGCAGAAGTAGGGCAATTGGTTAAAAACAAGCAAATTTAGGATTGGCGTAAGGAAAAACTTAACAATTTGGGGTCTCTGAAAGTGTCATGGGCTGCCTCCAGAGTTCCTCCTCTCTAGAGGTTTTCAAGCAAATTCTAGATCTCCAGTATTCGGGTCTGTTGTCATGGGGATCTTGTTAAGGTGTAGGTTGGACTAGAAGGCCTGTGAGGTCTCTTCCAACTCTGAAATTCTGTGATTTTTGGAAATGCTTCTATGATCACACAATAAAACATTCGATCAGAATCACACAGCAGCAGATCTGGAACTAGAACCCAGTCCTGTAAAGTGCTTTGTTCCACTGCACCAGCCTGCTGAGTTAGAAAAATGTTCAAGCATTTGTATGGTTGACTATGTTATAACTAAGATGGAATACCGGCCTGAGAAATCTTAGTGTCATGCTTTGAGTCTATGGCAATATTCTACAAGTCCTCACCTTGAGTATTAATTAAAATAAGAAGTCAACAAGAACAAAAGAAAACATGAAACACAAGGACAGCCAAAACAATCACTCTTCAAATATATCTTATCACGGGCAGTGTTTCATAGGTGGCTCCAGCAGGCCTAAGGCATAAGCAGGGAACAAGGATAGTGGAAATGATAGGAGGGCAGAAGAGGAAGGGAAGCAGGTACCGACAGCGGGAGGAAAAAGATGGTGGGAAAGTGGCCGGGGGGCTCCACAGAGATTGCCTAAGGAAGCCCCCTCCCCCACTTTTCCCAGGAATGAAGAACGGCCCTTCATAGAGAGTTCCTGTGACCAATGACTGCTGGATTCCTAAACCAACTCTTCCAGCCTCAGAAATATTCTGAGAGCCCCAGATGGGCGAAGACTCGCCTGTCCAAGCTCCACCACCCTAACAGCAGGATGGACAATCGCTCCCATTCCCAGACATGCTTTGGCAACTCAAAGGGTCTCTGAGCCCAGCCATTCCCCGGGTAAAAAAGTCGGGGACTTTTATCAACCCATATAGAACCATTGGACTTTTGGCATACCCTATTTGCGCTTCTACAGCGTTCTATACATCGCATTGGCAAACAACGGCAGCAGCTGCCCGACAATCTCTCTCCCTCCCCTTCCCCAGCCCATCTCCATGTTTCCCTGATGGTGGCAGCGGGCAAGGCAGAGACAGCCCTTGTGCTATGGCCGGGTGGGGCGTCGGAGAAGGGCGTCCCACGGGCCGCTAGCTCCCCAGGCTCACCCTACCTGTAGTAGCGATCATCTTTGTAAGGGGTGAGGTCCTCCTTCAGCTCTTGGTATGCCTCACCTAGCCTTTTGCAGAAGTGCTTAAACTCTCTGCAGAGAGGCTTCTCAAAGGCAGGGTAATCCGCGTCCATCCTCCCCCAGGTCCTGCTGGGCGCCTTCTCTTCCGCTTCGTGCTCACTGACTCTAGGTTTCACCCAGTTCCACCCTGGCAGTCGCTAACCTGGCCAGGCACAGCCAAGTCCCCTTGCTTAGTCCCCGCCGAACCCGCCTTTCTCTCCTCCTCTTTTCTGTGCAGATGGTTGGGGCGCCCTCCTTCGTTCTCCTCTCTTTCCTTGCCTCTGGCTTTCCCCCTTGTTTCTCCTCTTGCCTCAGGGTTTGGAGTTCCAATGAGCAGGGGAGGAGGAGAAAGGGGAGGAGAAAGAGGAGGAGCAGGTAATGGTGGAAAGGAGAAAGGAAGAAGGAAGAAGAAGAGGAAGAGAAAGAGAGTCTGTATTCAAAAGACCATCATCCCTTTTCTCCAAGTCCAGCTTCAAGGCTACAAGCGTAGCCTCTTAGGATAAACCTGTAGTCCTAGTAAGGGAAGGGTGGGGAATAAATAGCAAGGAACTGATGTGCTAGCGAGGGGGCGGACTGAGAAGGGGAGAGGGGCTGCGCCAGTTGATGATGTTGTATCTGCAGAGAAGAGGAGGGGTCCCGAGGCATCAGCATCAGTCCGGCTCAACTTCATTTTGCCGTTTTCTTTCTCTTTAGCTCATTTACAAAATGATAATGGATGTCGATACTCCTCGTGCTGCAAGAAAGAAAGAAACTAGGGAATGAGGGGGATAGAAAGGAGGGGAGAGGGGAAAGAGATCCTTTTCCTGATGGGAGGGGTAGGTAAACGAATGGCCTATAGGTTTCAGCACCATGGACGGGGCTCTGGCGCCTACATTCACTGGCGTTTCCATTCCTGCTCCTCCCCAACTTATTATGATTATTATTATTAAAACAAATGTTTATTAATATTTTTGTTTTACATCGTCTAATTTGTCCCTGTATTCCTCTCCTTCCTTCCCAGAGAGGCATCTCATATAACAAAGATTTAAAAATATTATTATTGTTATTTTAAAATGAGGTATACTATTTATACTAAGGAGAATAGACAATATCCAGAAGTGAGCCACTTAACAGAAGATCCCAGGTGCTTCCTGTAAACCCAGATGTGTGTGTGTGGGGGAATTTAGAGGAAAGAGACATAAGATGCACCATATTACTATATTTTTCCACCCTTAAATAGCTATTGTAATTATGAAAGACACAAATACATCTCTATATTGATATATTTTGTAAAGGGAAGCATGGTGTAGTGGGAAGATGGTGGATTTGAAGCCAGAGAATCTGGGTTCAAGTCTCAGATCTGCCATTTATTACTTGTGACCTTGGGTGAGTTGCTTCATCTCTCTGGGCCTTAATTTCCTTATTTGTGAAATAACAAGGTTGGACTAGATGACCACTATGGTTTCTATCAGTCCAAGATCCATAATTCTAAGGCATAATCAAAAGGACCCAAACTAGGATAGTTCAAATCTATGCCATTTCTGATAATACTTTTATGACCTTGGGCATATGTCTTCTTTGGAAGACACCTCTTTGGATCTTAATTTCCTCCTTTAAAAATGAGGGGGTTAGGGTTCCAGTTTTAAAAGCTATGATCCTAGAGTTTTTCAACTCTAAAATAGTTAAATATTAAAAAAAACACCTTCAATTGTCTTCATTGGGATCCATTATTAAAAGAAGTTTTGAAACATCTCTTGCTTTTAATTCCTCTTCCAGAAAAACGTGAGTAGATAGTTGACTCAGAGCTGTTCGTGGATTCCCACTTAATGGCACAAATGAAAAGACTGAGCAGGAAGTCTGAAAATTTTTATTACCTATATCTCTGACCCAACTTCATTCAATATCATTACTCCTTCCTACTCATGGTGGCCTTCATGTTTTATTTCCTGCTTCCTACCATGTTGGGAGTAAGTTTGTATTTATTGTAGGAGATGCTACTTTTTTTCATTTTTCCCATAATTTCTGATTTTCTTAAACTAAGAACACATAGTTTTTAGGCTTGAATTACTAATAGAGGCATTTACATTTCAGGAGGGCTGAAAATGGAGATTAGAGTTGACATTATTCAAAAGATGATATTAAGAAAGCAGTGAGGAGAAGAGCTGAACACAAACATAGAGATTTATTTTCCAGACTGAGATAGACTGTGAAGAGAGAATATATTATTTCAGATTTTGATATAGTTAAGTTCTCTGATGACATCCACTTTGTAGCCTCTAATTCCGGTACAGAAATATGCTGTAGCATATTTAAAATCTTTCTTACAGCCTTTCCTGTCTACTGCAGCCTACATTCACCTCTCCTTTCTTTGCAATCCTAGTAGTGACAGCTGGATTTGGTGGGAAAAGTACTCAACTAATAGCTAAAAGATCTGGGGTTTATACTTAATTCATCTACTACTGATTTGTGTGATTTGGACCAAATTGTTTCACTTCTCTGATCCCTGTTTTCCTTTTCATTAAGGTTTTGAACTCAATAATCTCCAAGTATCCATCTCTCAAGTTCAATGCTTCTCTTTAGAGATTGGTGTTGTTCAGTCATTTCAGTATTGACCAGCTCTTGGTGACCTCATTTGGGGTTTTCTTGCCAGAGATACTAGAGTGATTTGCCATTCCTTCTCCAGTTCACTTTGCAGATGAGAAAACCGAGGCAAACAAGGTTACATGACTTGGCCAGGGTGACACAGCTAGTAAGTTCTGAGGCCAGATTTGAACTCAGGTCTTCCTGATTCCAGGCCTGATGCTCTATTCACTATGCCACCTAGCTGCCCTCTCTTTAGTGACAGCACTACACAATTAAGCCATTGAATGTATCCTCTTTCCCCTCCAAAAAAATTTCCTAGAGAACTTTGTCTGGATATCTTTCGCAGTACTTTACATTATTTTCAACTGTCTGTCTATATGTGTACGTATGTATGTGTGCATATGTATCTGTATACATACACACATATATGTGTATATGTATATATTTTAGGATCAAATACTTGTGTGTATACCATGTGAATAGAATACCATGTGAATAGAATAATTCCCACTCACCTCACACTAGAATGTAAGCTCCTTGAGAGCAAGATTTGTGTCATTTTTTAAAATCTTGTTATCTTCACCACCTTTCACATAGCAGGTGCTTCATTAATGTTTGTTGAATTAAAGATGCGTAGTTTTGCATTGTTAACTAATTGTTTCATGTGTGTCATCTTTTCAACTGGTTAATAAGCACTTTGAAAGTATAGACAGGGGATACTCTAGAAAAAATACTAAGCAGAAAGTTTGTCTATGGTACACTCCTAGCTTCCACTTCTTTCTGTTTATATAGAGTCTCACCACTACTGAACTCCACTCAGACCAGACAGTGAGTGAGTGTTCCATGCTCTAAAGCTGTCTTTCTCTCCTCTTCACCCATCAGAATCCTTATTCTTTAAATATAATTATCTCAGCTAGATTGATAAGAACTCATATATTTAATTAATTCACATTACAGTGTGAATGACTAATAGCACAACAGGTTGTTATTTCATGGGCTATTTACACTTCAAAAGAGGATCTTTTTACTCATGATGGAAAATGCTTAAAAAAAAAAAGAAAAAAGAAAATTCTATCCACATCCAGAGAAAGAACTATGGAGTCTGAGTGAAGATTGAAGCATACTATTTGCTCTCTCTCTCCTTTTTTTTTTTTTTTGGTATTTCTTCTTTCTTGTGGTTCCTCCTATTGGTTCTAATTCTTCTTTACAACATGACTAATGTGAAAATGTTTAATATGAATGTTTATGTAGAGCCCATATCAAATTGCATTTCATCTTGGGGTGGGGAGAAGGGAGAAAGGGAGAGAAAGTCTGGAACTCAAAATCTTATGGAAGTGATTGTTGAAAACTAAAAATAAATAAATAATTTTTTTTTTAAAAAAAGAGGATGCTTTTTAGCCTAAATGAATTAATATATAATGGTGAGATTTCAGAAGGCAGTTAAAGGTGTGTATGTGTATGTGTGTTATACAAACTTATGTGCAATATTTTGCTTAGTGGGTGCCTCCTTGGCACTACTTTTCAAATCACACAAGGTATTCTACTTTGCCTACATATAAGGTTGACTATGGTGGGAAATATATTTCATATTTCTTCTAATGCCTAGTGCTGGGCACAGTAACAAATACCAAAAAGTACTCATCAGTCAATTAGCTAAATATTATAACTTGTTCTCTTTGACTGGTATAGAGATCCAGCCCTAAATAAATGAGACTAAAATAAATCAGGGGGCACCTGACAGAAACCATGCAGTAGGCCTAGAGAGAGTGAGAGGGCAGAAAGTTTTAATATCATCTTGCTCGTATTTCTATTCTCACACGATCTGGTTTTGTTAAGGATCTGTATTTGAAATGTTACTCATATTTGCTGAAGGCAGATAGTATTATTCTTTAACTAACCCAATAATAAGTGGTTGTTGGTGAGAATGAAGTAGAGGAAGAGACAGGAAGACACTGGTGAATGGTGTGGAGGGAAATGCAAATTTTGCAGGCTGAGTAGTTTTGGGAGACTAATGATTTTTGAAAATCATTTGAAGGGAGATTTCAAAACCCATACATGGAACTCCAGTGGGTACTGAAGCATGCAGGTGTCTGAAGAAAACAAGATCAGCTTTCACACTCAGCATATAAATACCACTAGTAATCCACACTCCAGGAGCTGGGCAGTGGCATAATGAATCTCCCTCACTGGTGGTGAAAGGAAGAAATGTGATTAATGTAATAATCATAATTGATGCTTTGAAAACAATGCCCCTAGGAAGTTAGTGGGAGAATTTCCTGATTCAGGCAAACAATGAAAATAGCTCATTGTAACAAGCTAGAGTGAAAATAATTGGTAGACAGCAACTTTCACGGATGGGCTTACAGGTCTATTTGTTAAAGTTGGTTCTAAATTGCTTCTAAATTATGTATTGTAATGAAAATGTGTCAAATTCACCAATATATGCATCTTAACCTTTTTAAATGATGCATGTAGATTTTTTGGGGGGGAGCAGACTTGTGATTTCATTAGT